GAGGGAGTTGGGAAGCTCAGGGAGGAGAGCTCTTCTACGGGATGGGCCCTGGAGACTGTGCCAGGCAACAGGGAAGCCAGCCAGGGTGAGGGCTGAGGACAGGCTATGAGATGTGGATGCATTGGGGCAGATGGCAAATGTCAGAGTTCTAGGACTAGAGTGGGGAGCTCCTGGGGTGGTCAGTGGGAGCAGACAAGAGAAGATGGGTGGAGGAGAATAGGACCAGAGTGAAGGCACTGGAGGGAGCAGGAGTGGCTTGGGGTGGGGGCAGTTGTAAGTACCTGTCCAGAGCTTGCCTGCCCTCCCCAGCATGGCAGGGTGCCCTCCACCAACAAGACAGTGGGCTGGAGGCCTCTGCAAGTTTCTGAGTCTCTCTAGGTGGCCAACAGTCTCTTTAGCTTGGCCAAGGCAGCCATATCCAGTCAGCCCCTCTGCCCAGGGGGGTGGGGCTGCCTAGCCTCCTTCTTTCCCTGGGCTGTGTGAGCAGTGGTCACTGTCTCCACTGAGGCCTGAACTCCCTGCTCCCTGGGATGCTGCAGCAGCTGTTTTGCCAACTCCAGGAGCAGGATACTTCATGCTTCTGTGGCTCCCTAGCTCTAGGAAGGAATGGGCTAGCAAGGCCTTAGCTGGGCAAGGAAGATGGCAACAAAGCAATTAAAATGATGAGCTGCACCCAGCGCTCTCCGCCTCTGAGCTGGCCCCACCTAGAGGCTCTTTGTGAGGGCTGCATTGCCCACCGTGTTCCCACTGAGCAAATGGGGCTCTCTTCTGGATACCAGTGGTCAGCTTGTTCTACCTCCAGCCCAAGGACCCCTGTCTTCGGCTGTTTGGCCCCAGGCAAGCCAGTCAGTGTTTCTTGAAGCTCTCTGAGCCAGACATGTACTGCCTTTCTCCATTCACTGCGTCTCTCCCGCTTGGCCCACAGAGGGAACTGGAGAGGGATGTTTCAACCTTTCACTCACCACACCTCTGTTTACGGAGTGACAGAGTTGAAACAGCCTGGCCAGCACTGGCTTGGGACCTGGGGATGGTTAAAAGTCAGGAATCAGCAAGGCTGGCCAGGCCTTCCAAGGGCTGAGGGCCTTACTTCACTTCCCTCTGGCTCTGCTAGAAAATGCTTGCGGTGGAGGGTTCTGCCCAGCCCAATTCTGGCCCCTTTTGAATCCTGTTCAGTCTTCTTCAGGGTGTGTCCCTTGGCTACCCATTTTGAGAGGAGTCAAGGCCCATAGATCTGTTCTCTCCCCCAGCTTCATTTAATCTTTGCTCTCTGCCCCATTTTTGGATAGGTAGAGATGTGGCCATTGAGTGAAGTGCCTGGCATGGACATTACTTGTTCTCAGAGCGATGGAGCGTTTCCTCTGGGTAGGTTGGGTGCTTTCATAAGGCTACTGGGTCACCACACTGTGCCTTGGCCATCACTGAGATACCTCTGCATTCTGTCTACCATTCAATGCCAGCACAGTGATCAGGGCCACATAGAAAGTACCTTCTTCCTTCGCCCCATCCTACCAGATACCTTGTTGTATCTGAATGATTTTTTGATTTGGGAATCTAATGGCAATGCTCTTTGGCCTCAACATTTCCCACTAGCAAAGAACGCTGAGTCCACCCTGGTCTGGTCCTGCACAGCCACAGGGGATGTCTGCACATAAGACTCTGAAATCCATGCATACTTCCACGTCTGTACATAGGGGCTCCTTCACATTTACACCAAGATATCAGTACAACAAAACACACAGCCCTCAATGACCTTGCTCATCAGCCTTTCTGGAGTGGAGCTACAGGGCAGGCATGCTTGCACGAGTCTATACAATAGCCCTCCCCTCAAATACAGACAATATCTGTACATGTAGGTGCATCTGTGTTTGACCTTCCTCCCTGCCCCCCACTAACTTCCTCTCCATCTTCCAGAGGAATATCTTGATATGGGAATTGAGCTGTGAGTGCACATTTGTTTATAATGTGGCATCTTTATCTGAAGAGGATACGCTGGTTCTCTGCTGAGTCAGGCTTAAGAACCTCCCTCCTGATTTTCACTGACGTTAAATTCTTCTTTTCCCCCTAATCTTATCTTCCTGATAACATGCAATCCAAGCAAGATGTATCAACTTCAAGCAAAATGAAAGGCCTTTTTCTCCATCAAGGATCTTGTTTACTTTTAGAGAGAGTAACTTTTCCATCCCACCGTGAGTGGCAACCCATTGGGTTGATTCGTTCTGAAAACTGGGCAGCCCACGCCTGGAAAAAGGAGAACTTGGGGACTATATTTTCCCTTAAAAGGCCCTTGGTCTGCTTCTGCAGATCTGTCTGTGGTCCTGGTGAGCATCTAAAAGCCTCATAGCAAGGGACAGTTCCTGGGGGCTCCAGGGCTCTTATCATCATGCATGCAGGTGACACCCGAACATATAACCATGGCGTCTATCATTCCTGTGTGCATGGCACACACACAGACATACACCTTCAGACTCACAATACCCACCCTTACTCTCCTAGACCTACCATACATGGTGGCACCTGTACTTATGGCCACTATGGTCATTACTGTACACATATGCAGAGCACTACTTTTTGTCCCATCCTGAGCCCACTCCTTGGGGGATAAAACAGAAGTTGTCGCTTGTCCCTGGAGAGCTCATCCCAGAAGCCAGGTGGGTGGCCCCAGGGTTGATCCTGCTCAGCCAGGTCCTCCTCATCCTCCAGCACTGGTCCCTGACAGAGTGGCATTCACAAAATGTGACGGACGTTTTCAGTGTCCGGTCTGAGTGGTCCAGGTTCCCCTCCCAACCCTCCTCTTCCTGAGCCACCTGCACAGACACTTTCTGAAGAGCCGGGTGGCATTATGTGCGAAGGTGCCTCTTCCTTCCATCCACTCATTCGACAACCATTTCTCGAGTGCCTATTTTATGTGGAGTTCTCCTCAGTACGGGGACTGCAGCAGTGAATGAAACAAGCAAGGACCCTGCCTTATGAACTTCCTCTCACCTCACTTCCCCGACTTCTGTCACAGAACCACACACCCAGCAGCCAAAGCTCCCCACTAGGTTTCCAGGACTTCTCATTGCAGAGGTTTAAAGAAGCCTTGGGGGAGTCAAGGGTGCCGCTTTCCAAGGCCAGGCCAGCACAGGACCCTGGAGTACCCCTCCAGGTGCCCGCAGGTCATGGCTGAAGCTGTTCTCTCTCCTTTCCTCTGTGCAGTCTCAGTCCAGGATTCAGAGCTGATTTACAGATTGGGAATGCAGTTAGAAGTCAAGCAGACAAACACAGATTTACATCTGCTGGGGATTTGGCAAATGTTCTAGCCTCTCAGAAAGCTCCTTTGCTTGTCTGAAAAATGAGGGTAACAACATGTACATCATAGTATTGCAGCAAAGATGAGGCGAGCAAATGTGTGCCGCAGGTCTGAGCACTGTGTCTGGCAGGTGGAAGGTGCTCAGTAAATGATAGTTCTCTTCCTTTAGAAATGATGGTTAAATGAAGACGCTTATTTTCTCAAAAGATGAGTAAAGCGATCTGGCTTGAACACTTGGTTCTGTACTGCAACCACAATCAATAGAGCCCTTTACAGCATACAAAACACTTTCATATACATCCCATTTGCTCTTGTCACCTTTGGAGGAAGGCTGGGAACACATTTTCATGCCAATGTTTGGATGGGGAAACTTGGACTTGGGGAGATTACATTTTGATAAGTCATGTAGGTGGTAAATGTCAAAGCCAGAAGTAGAATTCAGATGTTTAAAATTCTGTTACTCTGCCAAGCACGGTATCTCATGCCTGTAATCCCAGCACTTTGGGAGGCCGAGGTGGGCGAATTGCTTGCGGCCAGGAGTTCAAGACCAGCCTGGCCAACAAAGTGAAACCCTGTCTCTACTAAAAATACAAAAATTAACCTGCGGTGTAGTGCACACAAGTAGTCCCAGTTTCTTGGGAGACTGAAGCATGAGAATCACTTAAATCCGGGAGGCAGAGGTTGCAGTGAACCAAGATCACACCACTGCACTCCAGCCTGGGCAACACAGCAAGACCCTGTCCCCAAAAAGAGAATAAATAAAATAAAATTCTGTGACTAACACTGACCTCACCAATAGTGTCTAACACTTGTACAGTAGTACCCTCCTTATCTGCAGTTTTGCTTTCCAAGGTTTCAGTGACCTGTGTTCACCCATGGTCCAAAAATATTAAAAGGAAAATTCCAGAAACAATTCACAGTTTTAGATTGCACACCATTCTGAGTAGCATGATGAAATCTCACAGCATCCCACTCCATCATGCCTGGAATGTGAATCATCCCTTTGTCCAGCATATCCACGGTGCACTCGCTACCCACCCATTAATCACCTTAGCTGTCTCAGTCACTAGGTCAAAAAAACAGCATATCTAGGGTTTGGCAGTATCCACGGTTTCTCGCTTCCACTGGGGGCCTTGGAATGTATCTGCCATGGATGAGGGGAGACTACTGTCTAGCACTTTATAGTTTAAGAAGTGTTTTATGTCTGTGATTTCATTACTCTCACAACAGCTTATGAACTAAACAATAGAAGATCTCTTCTTAGAGTTAAGGAAACTGAAGTCAGAGTAGTTGGATGGTTTTCCTGAGATCACACAGCTGGGAAATAATTAGTACCAATACTCAAATCCATGATTCCTTGAAGAAAGAGCTCTCTTGCTGATATCACTGGCCATCTTCCCAACTATCACAGCTGCTGCCCAAATCAACAAAACCATAGCCTGCAATGGCCAACCTCTCTTCCTATGACCCATATCTAAATTATTCCTGGGCTAGGCTATACCAGCTAACTAAATATAAAGTTTGTTTGCTTTGAGCTAAAATCACATTAACTCGGGCAGTATGGGAACATGGTTATCTTGTGCTGATCAAATAAATGTTCAGATTGGCAGATCTACATCTTTGATTTTTTTATAGGAAAATGAATTAGTTTAATAAATGCCTTTTGGTATATAGACTCTTTCAAATCATTGGGAAATCATGATAAGAAAGTGTTCTTAGGGCAGAAGAGCTGGAAACCTTAATGGGAAAAGAACGTAAGTTATTTATTCTCATGTTCTCTTTGGGCACAATAAGTATTTTCTTTCTTCTTGTACTTTCAATTCTTTGTAGAGTGAAACAGGGTCTGAGGAAAAGGGAGTACTGAAGCAATTATGGTTCACAAATATAGATATACAGATAAGAAAAAATTAGATAAATCTCTAGGTTCGAATGTTCTTAACCTTTTTGTTTTAGCCTAGCTCTTAGTCAGTGCTTCAGTGTTAAATTCATAAAGAAAAGTAGAAACCATTCGGATATGTGTGTTGCTAACTTTTCCAGAGACTACATTTGGTTGTCCCATGGGTCAGGGTGGGTCAGAGAGGCTGAGGTTGTCCCCGTCCATGTCCTTTATTCCCCCTGAAGGATTTGGAGTCTTCTTAGGAGCTGCTGGCTGGGCACGGCCTTCCCAGGAATACCCTTCATAAGCCCATGGCTAATATGGCTGTCTTCAATCTATCTAGGCTCCAGTGGAACAGTCTCACTTGTTGAGTACAAAAGAGAGTAAAATGTTTTGCCCTTTGGAGGAAAAGCCAAATCCTCATTTAATGTAGAACTCAAAAAAAAAAAAAAAAAAAAAACACACACAACAGAAAACCCTAAGATTATGCATGAAGCATTCTTGTTGGGTAGGACGTTCTGTACTTTCACAGGCCCCAGGTTTGGGCTGGCCAGAGCAGCATTCCCAGGCTGTGGAGCTGGGGGTCCAGACAGCCTGTTCCTCTAAGACCCAACATTGTTGCAAATAAGGTCATCTGTTTCTCTTGGTGTTTGCCCAAGCTTTGGGCTTAAAATCATTTCCATTCACAGAATAATGATTTATTAGAAGCTGAGGAAAATGTTCAAGAGAAGGCAGGGCCCTTTGATGTGTTGTTTTGTGCTGCCTGGGGCAAATTTTTGAGCAAATATCAATGGACTAAACTATGGTTGATCTTGTCTTTAAAAACAAAACAATCTGGTGCTGGTAAATGTGGGGAGAGGGCAGGGGATGAGGAAGAGGACAAGAGACAGGTGCTTTCCGTTGGAGGGAGGGGGTGCATACTGGGTTGTGTTTGGGGCACCTATACCTAGGGTTGTTGTTTCAGAACAACCCGGAGGTGAAAGAATCCTCCTGTGATTGGGTAGATTAGGATTTATGGGGCTGATTGGGCTGTATGCCTGGGTTTGAGGTGAGCAGGTGGTCTGCAGCACTTCCCCCTGCATCTAAAATGGTAGAAAGACTGAATTTAATGTGGGCCTGCGATGCAGGGCCCCTCTGAGACAGTAGGAGGCTCCCTGAAGAAGCGATCTATGGTCAGTGGGACATGGCTCCCTGGTTCTGACAGAGCTTGCTCTTTGGAGAAGGCTCCAGTGGCTGAAGACTGGTAGCAGAGAGGTCTTACCCTAGAAAAGGATGGGGGAGCCTAGGTGGACCCTAGCCCAGCGACAAGGGTAGACTTACCCATGGGTACAGAGGAGTTACTAAATTCAGTCTTTCCTACTCCAGCCATAGCATCAGCTCGGCCTCCAGAGTTCTGCTCATTCCCTGAGGAGACAAGCCTGACAGCTGAGTGCCCTCAGGGAGCCCTTGCAGGGTGATGTAACGGGCTTGGGTAGAGCAGGGCTTTCTGGATTTCAATGGCCAGATTCAGGCAGCAGAGAGTGGGATGTGAGGAGTTCTCATAGGGCAACCATGTCATGTGTCATCTAAACCAGGAGACTTCTGACAGTGAAGGGGGCACTGTTAACAATCAGGCTGGGGCTAAACAGCAGTAAATCAGAACTACCCCCACCTCCAGCAAACCAGGCTGTATGGTCAGGCTAGTCATCAGGCTATAGTTAATGCTTATTTGAAGTTAATAAAATACTGTTTACTAGTATCTGTGATGCTGACTGATTTGCAGACTTGATTTGCCATCAAATCCCTGGGCAACTTATTTGAGCCCTGAGAGTCCATGTAAGTTGAAGCCGGTCACCCTCTTGTAGGAGAGAGGCTCCCTGGGTGCAGAGAGACCCCCGGTGGTCTCCACACTGAAAGCATCAGCAGACCTGGCTGTGGCCTTGGGCAAAGCATTGAACTGCTCCGAGCCCAAGGCCACATTGCAATGGAGATCGTCCCTGTCCTGCTTATGTCACTGGGATTCTTTTTGCTTTGATATTTCATGAAGATCTTTTGGGATGTAATTCTGGCCCCTTCTGACAAAGCCTTGGCTGCTAGGTGGCGTGAGGTTCTCTCCACTGTGCCTGAACAAAACTCTGTGACAGCATTTGTCACAGTGCAGAGTAATTGACTACCACGCCTGCCTGTAGGCTGACAGCTGTTTGTGGGCAGGGACACATCCACAGCACCAGCTCAAAGCCAGCCCTATACCCTCAGGGATCTTAGTGGGACTGAAGCCCTTCGTGGCCCCCTGAGCTCACCCTGCTTTCTTGGCCATTGCAGGTGGATGGTCAAATCGGAGAGAATGACATGAACAAACGGAGGCGGAAGGGCTTCAATAACCTGGACGAGGTTTGTGTACACAGTGTGGGTTTAAACAGAGGCTTGTTTCCTGACAACCAGTGGCCACAGGCGGCCTCACTGTGATAGCAGCCTGGCCCTGTTCCTTCCCTCTCTCATGAACCACTGGGTTCCAAACTTGGCGTGATGGAAAAACAGTTGGGGTTTTGGATCTCGCTTCACTATTTACTAGCTATGTAACCTTGAGAGACACAACCTCCCAGGATGTTCTTGTCTGTAACATGCAATGATACACTTGAAATACATGAAACTTTGCAGGACTTTTAAAGATGAATGAGATGAACATGGTATCTGATACATGCTAATCAATATACAACCACTATTAATAGTAAATAGTAAAGAGGCATCAGCACTCCCACTTTTCTCCCAATCATCATTTGTATCCCTTTGCGTTTCCTTTGCTTCTAGTCTTTAAGGCAAATGTCCTGGTGCCCACAAATGCCACCTTCTGGTGAAAGAAGAAAATTACAGGTTACTTTGTCAAAGGAGAGCCTGAATCTCTCACCTGCTTCTGAAAAATTGATCAAGCGGAAGGAGTATCAGTTCCTGCTTCCCCGGGCAGCTTTTAAAAGAGACCTGAGATATACACATCATTTAAAAAAAACCATTCCAACTCCATAAGCATGCATATTGTCAGCGAAGTGTGGGATGCCAGCTTTCGCCAGCCTGCTGGCTGACCTCAAAATGATGACACAGAGGCATGAGGGATGAGCTGTATAATACATTGATATCCGATGGATAGGAGGTAGAAGGGACTTTTCTACTGTTTATGGTCAAAGGGTTTTTATTGCTGTATATTTGCTGACATGGTTGTTCATGTCTGACTTGCTGCATCTCACAACAGTGAGCTTTATAATAAATAGAGTCATGAGGTTCACCTTGGGGAAAGCAGCAGCCAGCCAGTCAACCCATTATCTGTGATGGTCAAAGGGAAGCACTGACAAAGGAAAACAAGTTCAGTTCACATCTTAAAATATCAACAAACCCATTCTACCCAATGAGTTCAAAACACCTTGGGTTGAACATTTGCCTAGAGCTTCTTGAAGGTGCACTTCGAGAAGCACTGTTGCTTCTCCACCTCTTGGCTGTGGTGTAAGCAAGAAGCCAGCAAATAGAGACACAGAGAGGAAGCAGAGGCTGCACAGGGCTACAGACACGTTCCATTTCCCAGATTACGGGTGTTGGCTCTCTAGCTTCAGGACATGGGATTTGCTCCTGCCTGTTCCCAAGAAGCTTCCCTTGGGTACACTTTGTCTCAGGCAGAAGTCTTTTCCTGCCTTTCACCCGTGGCTTATGTAAGGGTATGTGAGTGTTGTTTCTGTTACTGGCAACATAGGAGTTGGAGTGGGAAGAAATCTGGTTTGTGTCTACCCTTTCTGAGATGGCCCTGGACAGTCTCCTGGGGCAACGGTTTGCTTAAACTCAGTTTTAACAAAGCGATATTCTTTCTAAATTCTTCCTACTCAAAATGTGATCCAAGATCCAGCTTAGGGGAGTCTTCTTAGTCAGCAGCTGGTTTCTTATTAGAAGTACAGGCTTTCAGGGCCCACCCCAGACCTACGGAAAGCAAATCTGCTTTTGAGGATTGATTTCCTGGTGATTTGTAGGCCTGTTGATGTCTGAAAGTGCTGGCCTATCTGGCCCACTGTCCTGGGCCAGGTCTTGTACGAACAGTGATCACTCAAGTAAGCATACCCCTTCCCACTCAAGCCTGTACTGTTGTGCACAGTTACATTTCACTTTGAAGGAGGGTGTGCCTCTTCGGTTTGTGTTTGTCCGATACTCAGAGTGGCTCCACATAAAAGGTTTCCATGGGGCTGCCACACCTAGGGATCTTTTTTAAAAAATTAACTATAGCTTGCCTTTTCTGGTGAATTTCTTCTAAATGAACACAACTTTGTTGTCGTGAGAATGTCTCTTCCTGTGAGGGACATTCCTGGTGTCCTTGGGAAAACTTACTACCCACTTGCTGTGGCAGCACCGTTTATACTTCTGAGGCCTGTGGGAGGAGATCCCGCAGTAAGGGGGAACAGACGTTCTTAGTAAACACCGGTCATTTTCAATTTTTTACTGTTAGCAGATGAGCTAGAGAAATCTTATATGGAACTCCGTTTTATAAAATAGCATAACCAAATGACCAAGGTCTACATCACCACCTATAAGTCACGTTGATATCATGCACCCCGCTGTTCTGGAATGAGAAGAGCATTTCACCTCGGTGGTGTCCTTCCCGGAAGTCTAATCATGAGAGAACATCAGACCAACCCAGATTGAGGGGCTTTCTATAAAACAGGTGCTCAGTACCCTTCAAAAAGTGTCATTCTGTAACAGAAACTGTTAGAGTTTGTAGGAAACCAAGGAGACAGGATGATGAAATGCAGTGTGGGATCCTGGATTGAATCCTGGGACAGAGAAAAGATATTAGTGGAAAAACTGATGCAATCCGAATAAAGTGTATAATTTAGTTAATAGTATTGTGCCAATGTTAATTTCTCAATCTTGATGACAGGAGCAATTATTCCAGATTTAACACCGCGGGCAGCTGGGTGAAGGGTATGCAGGGACAGTCTGTGCTATCTTTGCAACTTTTGTGTAAATCTAAAATTGTTTCTAAATTAAAAGTTTTCTTAAAAAAGATAGCAAAAATAGAGCAGGGCTGGTTAAAGCTGGGGGTGGTTACAGAGGAGAGTGGAGAAAGATCTCCAGAGCCCAGGCCTTGCCTGAGTGACCCCCAACCCTGCTTCCTTCATTGTCCCCCCGCCCCCGCTCTTCTCCTCTTCTCAGCCAGATGATGTATTTTTGAAAACCATTTTGTTCAACACTTTATGATTATATTTGGTTTTTGCAGTAATCATGTGAAATAGATTACTGTTCTCATTTTATACATGAAAAAATGTCACAGAAGTAAAGTAAGTCGCCAACATCACAGGGCTAAGAAATGAGAGTCGGGATTCAAACCCCAACCGCCTGGCTCCCAAGCCTAGCTGTGCTCATCCTTTGGAAACCTGCATCCCTCCTGTGAGCATTGCCTCTGCGGGGTGGCCCTGCTGCCTGTGCCTCCCTTCCTCAGACCATGGAGGGAGCCCTTCTGCAGGAAACTAGTCCCACATCCTGAGTCCCCAAGTCTGCTTTCTGATATCTGGATTCCAGGATCCAACCATCAGTGTCCCGTTTCAACCTTTGCAGCCTTCAAACTTTTCCAGCCGTAGCGTGGGCTCCAATCAAGAGTGTGGGAGCAGTAAAGAAGGTGGAAATCAGAACAAAGTCAAGTCCATGGCGAATCAGCTGCTGGCCAAGTTTGAGGAGAGCACTCGGAACCCCTCACTCATGAAGCAAGTGAGTCATGTCAAATATTCACTGGACTGACTTCCTGGTGACTTTTCAGCAGGAATGTTCTGGCTACTGGTAGACTTCAGATATGCCAGCCAGGCCTGGTCTCAAGGAGACTCCTTCTAGATCAGGAGTCAACAGACTTTTCTGTAAGAGGCCAGATAGCAGATTTTTAGTGCTTTGGAAGCCTTACTGTCTGTTACAACTCTGCCATTATAGTAGGAAAGCAGCAGTAAACAATACCTAAACAAACGAGCCTGGCTGTGTTCCAATAAAACTTTATTTACAAAACACAGGAGCAGGCCAGATATGGCCCATAGGCCTAGTTTGCTGATGGTTGTTCTGCATTAAATAAATCCATTCCCTAATTTGGTTTTGCTTTCCAACCATGGCTTGGTTTGCAGCCAGTTTTGAGATGATACAGTTTAAGGGAGCTTTGAGAGGCTGGCTGGCTGGGAAAGTACAAAGTCTACAGTGAGAAGATCCATCCAAACCAGAGGAACTGAGTCCGAGCTCACAGTATTGAAGGCCATCTTCCCAGGTGTTTCCTGGCGCTCCCCTCTCTCCCTGCACCAGGGTCAGCCTGGCAGGGCTGTTTTGTCTGATGGGGGTCAGTGTGAGGTTGGAGGAGACGGAATGCTGCATCAGGCTGTAGGCTTCCTCCTGACTCTGGCTCCGAGGTCTGTGCCTCGTGGTTCCGTTTGCTCCCCTGAACTTCCTTTAGGGTGCTGTTTTCACATTACAGAAGCTTGGGAAAAGAGATTTGGTTTTTCTGTGGTGAACGCCTGTCACATGACAGAATGAGACTCTATAGTTAGTTAGCTTTAGAGGCAACCATAGATGTCTCCTTAGTCTTGATGTGGACTGTGTCCCTCCTGGGAGAACTGACCTTCTCCAGGAAGGGAAGGGATTTTATTATAAGGGGTCATTTCCTTGAGACTTGTAATTCTCCACAAATTGTCTTGATTGCCCATTCTGGAGGCTTGGTCCCTCACAGTCCCCAAGTGCTGATGAGGGCTCAATTCCATCGGAAGCACCAGAGCATCCCTGTCCTTGAGTGTGCAGGAAGCTCTTCTGTTTCCAGGTGGACTCCTGGGCCAGCCACCCTGGCCTGGCATGGGCTCTGACAGTGCCTGCTTAAGGCCCTGTGTCTGAGCCAAAAGCAAAGCCACCCTGGGATTCACACATTGTCCATGAGAAGGGGACTCCAGGACTTGCTGTTCACATGGACAGGGAGCCAGGGCTCAAGTTTCCCAGCTGGGCCTGGCTTGCAGGAGCTCAGCCCAGTGCTTCCTCTGCACTTGCAAACTTCGTCTCCCTGCTCCTCTTCTCTCCTCCTTCTGAGCCTCTCAATCTGACTCACCTTTTCCTTCATGTCTCCTGTGGCTGCTTTTTTGGACTCGCCTTTCTTCTCCCAGGAACGCTGTGTCTCAGGGATAGGTAAGCCCGTCCTGTGCTCTTCCTCTGGCCCTCCTGTTCACTCTTGCTGCCTCAAGCTGGAGGAGGCCACACCCAGCCCATCACCTCCTCTGAAAAGGCAGGTAGGGCTCCTTCCAGTGGATGCTGTTTTGGTGAAGCCAGAGGGGACTTTGATCCAGAGGGGTGGGGTCAGTGGCTCTTCCCACACCACAAGTAGAGCTGATTGTAGATTTTCTGGACATACCTTGATGTCACCACACTTATAGGTAAGAATAATCAAGTATGCAACATCACAAAATACATGTTATTGATCCCTTAGCCAGTCAGAGGTATCAATTGACCAAATACCATGTTCTCAATGGTGCCACTAGGGAAAAATAAACTGTACCACAGGGTATTTTGTATGATGCCCTATGATGCTAAGCGTTATTTGCAGACCGTTCAAATAGGCTGATTTCCATATCAATGAAAAAGTGATGTTGGAATGGGCCCAGGTGGCCACTTGGCTGGACCCATTGAAGGGGTAAGGCTGGGATGTGGTAAAGGCCTTCCTGGTGCCAGAGTAGCTGAGGACCTGCATAGTGGGCAGGAAGGCAGCTGGCGGTCACGGAGTGTGGCTTATGGCAGGTAGTGCTCCTGGGTTTGGAATCTGAACCAAATCACTATCATTGACCATAAGCCACAAAGCTGTCTGGTCAGCATTAGGATTTGTGTGTTGCTCCCAGGTGGTGGAGGTTGAGTAAGGTCGGTGTGAATACAATGCCGCAATTTTATGTCTGTCTGCCTCACCTGCGGAGCTTTTAAAAAACTACCAATGTCTCATGCCCAGTCCAGAACAATCCAATCGGAATCTCTGGAGGTTGGCCCCAGAATTGGGTCTTTTTTTTTTTAAGTACCCTAGATGTCAATATGCAGCTAGGATTGAGAACCAGCATTGTAGAGGTTTTGATTCAGGGCCTGGGGGTGAGGCCCGGGACCGTGTGTTGTGAATGAGGAGGCCAGGCAATTTTGCTGCAGGTGGTGGAGAGTCAACACCTGGGGCTGGTTTGGAATCTTACTTAGGGTTGCACCTGGCGCGCCCTTTGTCTCTGGTCTTCATGGGGGATCCCTCATGGGGGAGGGGTGTGAAAGGGCCACAGTAGGGAAGGAAGCTTAATTTTCCCTCTTTCCCAGTTCCCTTCTGTGGTCGTGACCGGGCATGTGCTCAGAGAGCTCAAGCAAGTGTCTGCTGGCAGCGAGTGCCTGAGCAGGCCCTGGAGAGCCAGAGCCAAGTCTGACCTACAGCTGGGTGGGACAGAAAATTTCGCTACCCTGCCTTCTACCCGCCCGAGGGCACAGGCTCTTTCCGGGGTGCTGTGGCGGCTGCAGCAAGTGGAGGAAAAGATTCTCCAGGTGAAAGACTCACTGTTTGCCCTGTCTTTGTCCACGTCTGGGTGACTTCCTTTCTTCCCCTCCCTCCTCCTACCCAGGTGGGTTCCTCCTCCCTCTGCCCATGCCCTGTCTCCCATCCTGCTGTGTGTGGTGAGCAGACAAGGCTCCCGGCTGCCTCCCTCACCCACTTCTTGGAAGCAACTGTCTCAGTCTCTGTCACTCTCTCTCTTTTCTTTCTCCTTTCTCACCTTCACTGCAGAAGAGGGCTCAGAACTTGGCCAACAGGGAATTTCACACAAAGAACATTAAAGAGAAGGCGGCTCACCTTGCCTCCATGTTTGGCCACGAGGATTTCCCGCAGGTAAACATGGGGCTTTCAGAGCCCCCAGGAACCCAGATGTTGGACATCCAGCCAAGTGACCTTGAATCAGGCTCTGAGCTCAATTTTCTCCTCCTTCCTCCTTTTATAGCATGAGGAGCTATTTATTTTTCAAGCCATCAAATAACACAAGCTGGCATCTAAAAAAGACCCAAATGCAAAGATTCAAAATAAGTAAATACATCAAGAGAAAGGGAAAACTAAGACAGGAAAGTAAACTCAGATCAAGAAAGGCATTACTAAACAGAAGCACAAGCCAGTAGACCCTAGATATTTTCCAAGCAGGCTCTGAGCTTCCTAAGGGTCAACACAAAGAGGAAACAGTCATCAGTTGCAGAATCACAGTGCCTTTACCCAGTTGCTTGTGATGTTTTTGAGTGGGAGAGAAATCTCCCTGTGGCCCTGATCAGGAAGATACTGAATGATGAGGCCAACCATATGCGTTAACTGGAGCTCTACTTCCCCATGGGATAAATTCAAGCCAACAAGAATGGCTTTGCCTTAGAATTAGGAAGTACAGCCTCCTCCAAGCCAGGTAGTTATTTGGAAATTTGCGAAAAGAAGAGTGTGTGCTCAAGAGGAAATGAGTTGATAATGAGATCCTGCAGGTGGGTGCATGTGTAAAGTCCTCCCTTCCTCACAGCACGCCTGTCCCTAGAACTTACCTCTCTGCTGTTTTCACTTAGTCTCCTTCAGACCTACATCTTCTGCTACTTGGTGGAATCATTGGTGTGGGAAGGATGCTTTACACTTCGTTCATTTTTAGGATTCCACATGCCTGCCAGGACGCTAGCACAGTTGCCTGCTGCAGCTATAGAGGCCCCTGCTGTGGCCACCTGCCCTAAAGCAGCCCAGGGTTCTCCTCTCCTAAGCTCGCAGCTGCTACTTCATACCAAGCTCCAGCGTGAGGGCTTTGGTAATTGGCGTTGGTGTCTGAGGCGGATGTAGGCAGGAACAGATTGAATCTGCATGAGCTATTTTGGTGTGACAAGGGAGCTGGAATAGTTGCAGCAGAATTCTGTATAACCAGGAGGCAGATAATCCTTTCTGGCTCCAAAGACAGGGGTTTCTGTGTTGTCCAGAGACATGGGTCTCCTTTCTTTGCCCCCTTGATTGCACAGGCATGGGACTGCATGATCGAGGCATGATGACCAGGTGTGACTCCTGGGATAATCCTTGTTTCTTCTATTTCTGTTCTGTGCAGAATAAACTACTCTCTAAAGGCCTGTCTCACACTCATCCTCCGTCTCCTCCCTCTTGCCTCCCGTCTCCTGATCCAGCTGCTTCTTCCTCTCCATCAACTATTGACTCTGCTTCTCCTGCCAGAAAGGTAGTTGTCCTGAACAATTTGCTTTCCCCATTGCCTGCATGTTCCCAGATGTTCTCATGCTCCACTTGACCTGCACAGACACACATCTTGAGCCTGGCTTGGCTGGAATAAAAATTTGTAAGATATTTTACAACAGTGCTGGATTCGATTTTGGTTTTGTGTTAGAGCACACAACACGGCCGAACAGGTGGCGCACGGAAGCTTGCCAAACAGGGCTCATTCATCCAGCCAGCATTAATCAGGGCCCACCATATGCCAACCTCCGTGCCAGATGCTGAGAAAACAGAGAAGGTAGTGCCGTTCCCTTACTACAGTTGAGATGGGAAATAGCACATTAGCATAGAAATGAATGACATTTTGATGATACCAAATATCACATCACATACTGCCGAAACTTGCCTGTTTTGTCCTAATAAGATGGCAATTTCACATGATAAACTTAACGTAACACCATTCATTCTATCAGAGGTATAAAGGGCAAGATTGTAGGAATGGAGAGGGGAGAAGACTGGGAGGTAATACGGAGAAGGTAATATGGGAACTGAGTGACTGTTGAAGGTTCCATGGGGGGATTTTGCTAGAGAGAAGTTTAGGGCAAGGGCGTTTTGGAGAGGGGCTAGCCTGTGCAAAGGCAGGCAGGCAGAGCTTGCATGACATGAAAAGATGGAATGTCTGGTGTGACTTGAACTTGGGAATAAAAGCATTTATGGTGGCATGGAGAGTGGAAGTGAGCCCACTCTGTATAAAGGAATTTCATTTTATCCTCTGGGTCATAGGAAGCCACTGCAGGATCTACTCCGTTCTAGAAGGACGACTCAGTAGTGCAGAGATCGGCATGGAGGATGAGAAGAGTGGGGAGCTAACTTTGGTTAAGCAGTTAATGAAATGCACTCACGAACAATGATTAAGACTGGGTTTGGGGGTGCTTTTCGTGTTTGACTTGTCCTCCTGTTACCTCCTGTGTGGAGAACAATACCAGGCTGGGGTGGGAGACAGCCTGTCTTCTGGGAAGCCTGGCCTCTGGAATGAATGAATCTAGAAATGGGTGTGAAGCCTACCTCATGAGCTGTTGCTCATGGAGTAGGTTTGGATTCTCCCCCACTCCACCCCGCCAACTGTGCTTCTCTGTTCACAGCCAGCGTGTCTGGCTCCCACCGAGGCTCTGTGTGTCATGCTGAATGTGCCACTGCCAGAAGGAGTGCTGGTCTGTTTCTGTGCTGTTAAACTGGTGCACAAACCATCTCCATGCTATTGCATTAGTGAAAAATTAGAAACTGCCTCTTGGTGTGTAATTAGGGGTCCCACCCCTGTTGGCCCCCACCTCTGTGAGGAGAACGGTGTAGGTAGAGTCCCTAAGAAAGGAACAAGGAATCTTACCAGCCCCTCCCCATCTGAGGTCCCCAATGTGAATGGGAAGCACCCCAGAAACGGGTAACACAGAGAAACACACACATGATCTTCAATGCCACTGAAAATAGCCATGTTCAGCATAACAAGATCCCCAGCCACCTGCTCCAGGTCAGCCACAGGCCGGCTGTTTGACATTAAGTCTCCTGACCTATCTGGGCCTCTTTGCCTCAGTAAGAGTGGTTCTGGGCTCACGTTCCAGTGAGCAGTGTGGGTGGAGACAGGCACTTTTGTCATCACCATCAGCAAGGTTGCAGGGTAGGCTTTTTGCCCAGTTAGGGAAAGGTGCCTTCCCCAGGCACATACTGTCTGCTATGGGAAAAGGTCATGGCACCCTTGGCAGGATGGTGGGAGGGGAGAAGGCACTTGGGCACAGACCAGGCAGTGGCTTGTGCCCGTAGTTGGTCAGCCAGGCCCACACCTTGCTTCTCTCTGGCCCAGCCCCCTCTAGCTGCCTAGGCCCTTCAGGGTAGAACCAGGCAAGGCCGTCTCTTGTCCCTGCCTTTCTCTCATCCCCAGGAAAGTCTGGCATGGTCACTGTTGGGGCCAGAACTGCTGCAAAAAAAGCCCCTACACCTCTGAAATACCCTGACTTGGTTTCCACTGGGCATTCGATCCTTCTAAGAGGGCAGGGAGCAGCCTGCTGGGAGCATGCACAGCTGCTGGGTAAGACAGAGATGCTTTCAGCCACTAAGCGTGTCCCCATCACATCATCTTCACTCCTGCTGAGGCCCTGCCTGCCGCTGTCTCTGGCTCTTCAGGCAGCCCTCCCCTGAAGATTCGGCTCCCTATCAGCCATTAGTTAATTTTCTCCTCCAGAAGGGAGGCCACTGCTGATCTGGCCTGTGGCGTGCCTGCTAGCCGTTGGCCATGCTGGTGAGCTCTTGCAAGAACAAGGAGGCACTGAGCGTTTGCGCAGCTGGGCAGGGGCGCCCTTCACTGGGCTGGGAGCTACCCTTTAGTCCTCCTGGGTCGGAAGAGCACTGAGCATTGCAAAAGGAGCTTTCTCCACCAGTGTCACTCTGAAAGCCAATGTGTGAACATTCATTCATTCATTCAACAAATTTATTTTTTTTTGGCGGGAGGACAGGGTCTTTATCTGTCACCCAGCCCAGAGTGCAGTGGTGCAATCATAGCTCACTGCAACCTCAAACTTCTGGGCTCAAGCGATCCTTCTACCTCAGCCCTCCACCCCTGAGTAGCTGGGACTACAGACGTGAACCGCCACCCTCAGTAAACAAGTATTTACTGCATGAAAACCCAATGTTTAGGCACTTCAGGCTGTCAGGATATGCATCAATGAATAAGAGTTAAATCCCTGCCCTAATGAGGCTTACACCCTAGTAGCCTACAGCAATCAACATATTATATCAGTAAATTATATAATGTGTTAGAGGGCAAGACACTATTTCCTATGAAAAAATTAGAGCTGGTGGTGGGGACCCGGAATGCTGGGGAGGGAAGGGTGGCGATTTTAAATGGAGTGGTTGGGTGGGGGCTGGAGAGCTCTTCCTGTGATCGTAAGAACTGAGCAGGAGCAGAGTCACAGATAAGGCAAAGGCTCAGGGAGGAGACTGGAGCCCAGTGTTCCAACTCCCAGGCCAGTGCTCTCCTGTGTCCTGCAGAAGCCACGTGTGCATGGAGGCCTTGTCAGAGGCCCAGAGGCTGTGTCCATGTAAACCCCCACACTCAGGGACAGGGAGGGCTTTGGGGTTCAACCCCAGATCTGCTCTCCCCAACTCTACAGCTTTGTTCCTTGCTTCTCCCTAGTTGTGGTAGAAGAATTGCCCTATTTTTGTTCTTTTAAAAAATTCAATCTCCCAAGCCAGCATTGGTCATTAGATGATGATGTAATTGGACTATTTTGACAGCTTCCAACATCTTAATTTTTGGCTAATGTTTCTTTCACAGTATGGCTGGGAATGGTGGAGGAACTCTTAGAATGGACTCTTGGGCAAGTCACTTAGCCTCTCTGTGCCTCAGTTTTTCTGAGTACCTACACTTGCAGGCTCATGCAGGTCACACTGTGAGTCCATTTTAGGCAGCTATGGATGGAGTGGTGAGTTTCTAGTTTCAAGCAGTCTTAGAAAGGATATTGCCAGCCTCACCCATTGCCTTGACTTCCCTCCCTCCCCAAACTCTGCCCCACCATTGATTCAGCACTGGGCTTTGCACATGCAGAATTTGGCAGAATCACAACCTTCTTTGGGGAGACAACTGGCTGTTCCTTAAAGTAGGTGATGACTTGGTGATAAACAGATTTATTCTATCCTGGTGCAGCTCAGGGAACTTCTGTCCTAGAGCCTGGGGTCTTAATGCTTCTTCCAAACAGATTTTGGGCTGTTCTTTTTGCTCAATTGACCCAAGTTTGCCTGAATTCAGGGGAGCAAGAGGAAGAAAAATGCACGTGGAAACTGATGGTTAGTCCTTGGCAACTTCCTGACAGGCAGCGTGTCTCTGTTCCTGCCCTAGGGTCTTCCACACCAATTCCGAGGATGCAGGAATAATCATCTCCTCATGGGAACTGACTTAGCCAAACTTACTATGAGGAGCACTTGTTACTCACAGGGATGCAAACTTGAGTTGCTGACTCCAAGACAGGGAGCCAGGGCTCTGCCTTCAGACTCCACTTGCCCACTCTCTCAGATTGATATTCCACTGTAAAATTCAGAGTGGTGCTGTGGGTTTCTTGGCCTGAATGGTCACAGGGAGTCTTGAGGGCTCTCATGGGGAGCTCAGATCCTTGGCAGAGTCTGTCTTTCCAGGCTGTGGACTGTGAGACCTATGCCCAGTTTTATGTCCCCAGCACCATCCCATCAAACCAGCCCTCTTCTGTGATCTCGGCTCCCTATCAGCCATTAGTTAGTTTTGCTTTTCCAGAAGGGAGGCCACTTTGCTGATCTGGCCCATGGGATGGCTATTGGCTGCTGGCTGTTTGCCATGCTGGTGAGCTCTTGCAAGAACAAGAAGGCACTAAGCGTTTGCACAGCTGGGCAATCGGGGCGGGGCGGGGGCTGGGGGTGGCCTTCACTGGGCTAGGAATTGCCCCTCAGTCCTCCAGGGTCAGAAGATCACTGAGCATTTTAAAAGGAGCTTTCTCTACCCTTGGGGGTGTTTGTTTTAAAACTGGATTTGCAGGGTTTACTCTAGAGATTTGCATAGTAGAAGGAAACAGGGAAATGCTGGAAAGTTTTGTCTGGGGCAATCTGCCTTTGATCTGGTAGGAGGATAAATCTCAGGGACAGGTCTCAAGGCTGCCTCCAACCTCACTGTTCCTCCTCCTATCCTGGGAATAGAGCTAGGCAACCTTTTGGAGGTCTCCTGTGTGCATCCCAGCCTGGGGGGTTTTAATTTGCAGAGTGCTGGTATGGAAGAAGGATATGAGTTTCAAATCAGACTTGAGTTCAGAGCACAAATTACTCACTGTGTGGCCTTGGACAAGTTTGTGAACCTCTCTGAACATTAGTTTCTTAACCTATAAAATGGAGAAGAAAGCAGCTACTCCTGAGGGTAACTGGAACACTGCAATGTCCTAACCTATGCAAAATTCCTGAAGTGTCCTGTAAAGCTTCTCTTTCCCCAGTGGAAGAGAATCTGAAAGAAATCTTATTTACCTAAAATGCCTGTTGATCCCTCTCTTTCTAAAGGAAAAGAAGTCACCTTCAGGGTTCCATTTTCATCCCAGCCATTTGAGAACAGTGCGTCCTCAGGTGAGTTAGAGCCTCCCTGAACTTTAGCTGCCTCACCTGCAAAGGGGGATTATCAGACCCACCTGCAGGCTCTGGGAGTTAAGCGCAATGATCAGCAGCACAGTGCCTGGCACCAGGGATGAAGGTGGGCAGACATGTGCTTGTACTGGGAGCTCACAGCCCCTAAGGCCTCCGTCTTAGCTCTGAACTTGTAATTCCAGACATCCTTGAACATAGTGATTTCAGTTCTTTGCCTGCCCGCCTACCCCCAGCCCTGGGCATATGGCTGAGGAATCAGGTCCAACAGGCTGTCCTCTGATGTCTTCTCATCCAGGGACTCCTCAGTGAGGATGTCCTTGCCCAAGTGGACGCAGCAGACCCCCTCTGGCCCTACCTGTCAAAAGCTCCTCTTCCTGTGAGCCCTCCGTTCTGAGGCCCTGCACATTCTGCTCTCACTGCTGCCTTGCCCACGTGGACTTGCTTGATGCTCCCGGCAGGCTGTATGGTTGCAGGTGGCCAAACTCAGTAGAGAAGTGCAGTTGGGACACCTGGTAATCTTGGCTCAGTTCCAGGTGCAGGGAGGGGCCGTTTCCATTGTTCTCACACAAACAGGGCCTGGAGCCTGCTTTTTCCTGCATTCACAGTATCTGCCTTGTGCCAAGAATGTCGAGGTGAATAAGACAGGTCACTCAGGGAGTGCAAACTGAGGGGGAGATGGGCTAGCTCGGTGCAGTGTGAGGAACGCTCTGATATCCAGACGAGGCCCGTCATATTCTACGCTGGGGTCACAGGATCACTTGGAAAATGCCTCTTTGTAGAGGTCTAGCCATCTTCTGCAGTCTCTGGCATGGGTGTGTGTGAAAACAGCTGCGTCACCGTGTTTCTATCTAGATTGGCTCTGGGGAGAGGAGGCAGGGAGCTCGTCCTGTGTGGGCCATGCCATTCTTGTGCAGCGGAAAGTGATTTAAGACAAGAGAGAAGTCCTAGAACATGGAAATGCAATGCTGCACAAATGGCCGTGCTTTGTTTTAATTTTTGTGGTTATTGTAGGTGTATATATGCATGGGGTATGTGGTATTTGAATACAGGCATTCAATGTGAAATAAGCACATCACAGAGAACGGGGTATCCATTCCCTCCAGCATTTATCCCAGTGGCCGTGCTTTGGACTCACTATCTGCCGAGTACCTCCTGCATGGCCCAGGTTCTTTCAGGAGTCTTTTCTGCAGCCCTGCAAGGTTGGTGGTGGTCTCTCCATTTTACAGATGAGGAAGCTGAGGCTCACAGAAGGGAAATGGCATATGTTGCAAGATGATTGCCCTCCTGAAATGTTCTAATTAATTTGCTGAAAAATAATTAGAATTCAAAAGGGGGGGGAAGGTAATGAAAAACACCCAAATTCTTGAAAATTACAAGAATATTGAGAGATGTATAAAGGGTTGCAAAAGCACTCCCTTCGAAATTACTAATTCTTAAATTACTAATTACTAAAATTACTAATTACTAAAAAGCAGACTTCGAAATTACTAATTCTTAAAAAACTGGTGGCTGGAACATGATCATCTCTGACTAGATCATCAGATTGCCCAACTTTGCATTCAGATGAATTGTTCCCAGCCTAATCATAAGCTCTTCTCTTGACCAGCCTCCCCAGGAGCCTAGTGGCTTGCCATCAGTGCATGCTTCTCTTTGGTAGGAACCACTGGCTCTAACCCTGAGGTCCACACCAGGATGACTTATCTGGGATTTCTCCATGAGTTGAGCATTTATTTCTCAGGATCCTGAGAACCTGGTGATTCCCCCAGTTGACTAGAGCAGTGCTACTCAAAGTGTGGTCCACAGGCAGGGACTGGGCTATAATCCCATGATAGCAAGTGAGAGAGAGTTAAGTGTTGGAAACTTGTAGAACCATTTGATACTGCCACACATTCAAGTGTGTGCTCGTATTTCTAGTTTATTTTCTTTGTATCTGGAAATAACCAGCCATAATGGATTAAATATTTAAAAAGAAAAAAACCTGTCATTAGCCACAGGTAGTTTGAGGAGCAATGAGCTAGCAGAAGCCAGTTAGTTAGTTATATCCTCACTCTGAGAGCCGGTAAGGCCGTCCTGCTGTCAGGAAATAGAAGATAACCCTTGATGCCCAGGGCAACATTCACCTTCACATTGGCCTTTGGGGTGGGCTTCAAAGACTCTCCCCTCATCCCGGGAGACAAGTTCTCCATCACCTCATTTCCCTGTGACCTCTCAAAGAAGTGCTGGTCTACCTCTTGGTGATTCTGGAATGCATTTCATCAGGTTGGAAAGGGCAAGTAGGAGACCCAATACTGATTTCCTTAAGGGTGCTTTCATTTTACTTAAAAAAAAAAAAAAAAAAGAAAGAATGTCACCCTCTCAGGGTGGATGTGTGGGTGCCACAGGGAGAAAGGGGGCTTTTGGACCTAATGATAGGTGGAACCAGATGTGGTCTTCATCCTGGATCCCCTGCCCAGATGACCCAGGCTGTGCCCTGTGCTGTAGGACAATAGAGCAGCTCTGCAACTGCTCAGTTTTGGCAGTACCTCCTAGCAACCTCGCAGCCCTCTGCATGCTTCAGTAATGCCTCCCCAAGTCAGGGTTGCTCAGAAGCTCAGTGCACAAAGTGCTTATTAGCTAAGTGGTTAATAAGATCTCATTAGGGATTTGTAGTAAAAGCTCCAGAAAGTATAGTCTCTGCTTATTCAGGGAAGGCAGTAATTGTGCGTGGGTATCTTGGCATCACTGTGGTGCCTCTCTGGGAGAATACTGTGGAGCCAGTTCACACACTGGGCCAGTGGAAGCAGTCACACAAGGGGCTGGGCAGGCGGTGCTAAGAGTATAACTGACCTCCCTGACTTTCCTCCCCTCTTTATTTTGATAAAAGCCCAGGAAGTCCTTTGTATCCCCTATCTGAGTGGCCAAGTTGGGGGTCCCAGCAGGGGATGGAACATCAGGCAAACAATGACTTATTGTCCTGAGCTATGCACCTGAACCTTTCTTGGAAGCAGGGGCAAAATTTCTTGGCATTTGTGGCCTCCTGGAAATGGCAGACAGTGTGCTTGGAAGCAGAATCCTAATCCCTCCCAGGTTGGGCCACAGTAGAGGCAAGGGTGGAAGGGGGTGCCAGGCCTGACAGCTGCTCCCAAGAAGTGGCAGGCTTGGTAAACTCTGATGAGGTCCCATCTGTCTAAATTCAAGGGATCAGACACCCCCAGCAAGCATGCATCCAGGTCCTCTGCAGGGCCCAAAGCCACACACATGGTCTGGAGTGACCATTTCAAAGTTACTGTAATGTTGGGCTTCCTAATGAGAAAGGGAGCAAGGGGCTCCTGGGCTTTGTTCACACCAGCCTGCCAGGCGCTCCTTTTCCTGCTCAGCCCTATATAGTGCCTGTGCTTTTGCTGGAAGCCGGTGAGTTAGCCTTAGGCCCCGAGGATGGGCACTGCTACCAGGAATAGGGGAGCTGTGGTGAGCCTGTCATTTGCTTTGCAGTTCCCTGGACTCCCTGCTTTATATTTGAGGCTTTCTCTTATCAGTTTAGATGTGGCCTCCCAAGGGCAGTCTTGGGTTTTGATGGAGGTCATCATTTCACCCACACACAAGTTACTGTTATTTGGTGTGGCGATGGCTATCAACTCTTGCCCAGAGGCCCTGCAGCCTCCATTGCTGTTCTCGCTGGCGGCAACTCCCAGACGCTGGGTTCAGAAGCTGGGGAGGACCTAGAGCTTCCCTCCCTCTACGATCTTGGTATCAGGAGCAGTGTTTCTAGAATCTCGTGCTATATGTATTTGCCTCCCCCAAGAAGAGACTGCAGCAATACCAGGGTAGGCTTCCAGAGTTGGGGGTGAGGGGTGAAGGGGTGAAGGGGAGAGCAAGCTGTGGTTTGCAGAAGCGGGTATGTGTAATTGTGCCATGCTCTTTAGACTGTCAGCTTCCACCCCTTCCCCAGCTTTTTGACACCTTGGTGGGGGTCTAGGCATTTGTAGGTGCCCTCAGGAGCACAGGCACCCACAGCCTGTCACTGGGCCATGCACCCCATGGCCCATGCAGAGCTGCTGCCTCCCTGTCTCCAAGCTGACCTTGCCCGGCGCTAGCTCTGCAGTCCCCATCCTGTCCCACCTGCCCAGTATGCGCTCATTCCACATACTGCTGCTGTTGACAGGGTGGGCTGTGGTCCTGCTTGGAGGGACCTAGGAGCTTCAAGGCAGGCTAGGGCAGGCTGAATCTAGAGGAGGGAAGGGAGGGAGGAATCAAGGTATAAGAAAAAAACAAAGCTGCTTCTCTCCACTCTCACACCACTCATCTTTGGTCACCAAATAGAGTGGGGATGTGTCTCCCCACCAACAAAGTCTATAAATGGAAATGTTTTCCCTGAGTTCTGTGAGCCATCCTTGCAAATTAGTTAAACCTGAGGAGGGAAACACGGTTACTGGTTTATTATACAGGATCTTATCAAGGATACAGAGGAACAGCCAGGTGAGGAGAGGCACAGGGCAGGGCATGTGGGAAAGGGTAGGCGCCTCCACGCCATCTCTGGGGCACTGCCCTTCAGGGTCCTCTACATGGTCCGCCCTCCAGAAGCTCCAAACCCTATCCTTTTCGGTTTCTATGGAGGCTTTGTTATGAAGGCGTGATCGATTACATCATTGGCTGTTGGTGATTAACTCAACCTTCAGCCCCTCTGACCTCGTAGGTCAGTGTATGGGACTGAAAGTTCCAACCCTTTAATCACAGGGTTGGTTCCCCTGGCAACCAGCCCCATCCTGAAGCTATCCAGGAGCTCAAGAGTCACTTCATTCCAGCAAAGGATGCTCCTGTCACGCAGGAAATCCCAAGGGATTTAGGAGCACTGCGTCAGATGCTGCTGTCACTCAGGAAGGTACAAAGGTCTTAGGAGCTCTGCCTCAGGAACCAGGGGGCAGAGTCCAAATATGTATTTCCAGTGATATCACAATATCACACAAGGTAGTCCTGGCTGAGAGCCTGCTCAGTGCCAGGTGCTAGGACACACATTCTCTCGCCTAGTCCTTCCCACAAACTCAGGAGACAGGTATAGCTCTCCCCATTTTACTAAATGAGGAACTGAGCTCAGAAGTTCTGTGCTTTATGCCAAGTCTCAGCACTGGCCTGTGGTGGAGCTGGGACCATACCCTTCCCCTGGTCTTGCTGGTCCCTGAGGAGCTGCCTGCGGCCCCCCAGGGTCAAGGGGTCTCTGAAAGACGGTGGCCGCAGTGTGGCAGTCTACCTTTCTGTCCGAGGGGACTTGGCTCCTGATTTTCTTCTCTTTGCTTGGCTTATCTGACTCGCAGGTTTTGGGGCCTTTTGGGTAATGATTGGGTCTGAGCACTACATTTACCCCATCCCCCTGCTGAGTAAAGTTGTGAATGCCCCAGGGCTGGGGGGCAGGAGACCAGAGTACAGTCTGGAATCTTAGATCTATTTGCTAAGTGGCCTCAGATAGACCCTTCCGTTCTCTGGGATTCATGTACGCATCTGTGCAATGAGAGGCTCAGGAACTTCGGAAGGCCTTGCACCCCACAGTGGATGTAATAGTCCTGTGACCCACCCAGGACTAAAAGGCTTTTGGTTTTTAATCTTTTTTTTCCCCGAATTCTTTTATTGTGTTAAAATGTACATGACATAAAAATTACCACCTTAACCTTGTTTTTTTTTTTTCTTTGAGACGATGTTTTACTCTTGTTGCTCAGGCTGGAGTGCAATGGCGTGATCTCAGCTCACCGCAACCTCTGCCTCCCAGGTTCAAGTGATTCTCCTGCCTCAGCCTCCCAACTAGCTGGGATTACAGGCATGCGCCACCACCCTGGCTAATTTTGTATTTTTAATAGAGATGTGATTTCTTCATGTTGGTCAGGCTGGTCTTGAACTCCCGACCTCAGGTAATCCGCCCATCTCGGCCTCCCAAAGTGCAGGGATTGCAGGCATGAGCCACCATGCCCAGCCAGCCTTAACCATTTTTTAAGGATATAGTTTAGTGGTATTAAATACATCCTTTGTGTGCAACCCTCACCATCCTCCCACTCCAGAACTCTTAGTCGTTGTCAAACTGGAACTCTGTACCCATTAAACAACAGCAACCACTGTTCTACTGCCTGTCTCTATGATTTTGACTACTCTAGGTACCACATGTAAGTGGAATCCTACAGCATTTGTGATTTTGTGGCCACAGGGTTTTATTTATTTTATTTTCTCCATCTCCAGAATCCCCGCGGTCTGCTCCTGTCTGGTTTTGCTTCTCCTGGGTCGTGGGGTGCTATTTGCATGTGGGTGAGGAGCACTCTCCCCATCCATCCTGCTTGTGTTTTCCTCCTGGGTGCTAACTGGCCTCTACCTTTGTCTCTGTCTCCTCTGCCTCTGCTCTTGGTTAGCTGACGGTAGGGAAAGTGTCCAGCGGAATAGGGGCTGCAGCTGAAGTCCTGGTCAATCTGTACATGAATGATCACAGACCTAAGACCCAGGCCACCTCTCCAGACCTGGTAAGGACATGCACCCCCAGCCTTCACCCACAGACACTGGCTCTGGTATCCCAAGGCGGGCACATGGGATGCGGAGAGGATGCTCTAGCCCTTCCGAGGCTCCTCTTCTCTTGGGCCAAGAGGGGGCTGAGAATGAGCTGGATCAGGGCAGAAGTTAGAGGGAACCTATATTTCCTTAAAGACAGACCTCACTCAGGTCCCCTGTGGTCTTTTTGAAAATAGAGATCTTCCTGCTGTCTGTGGCTCTGGAGAACGGCCTGGTAGAAAGGCCCAGGTGAGGCCGTGAGCATAATTGAATGGTCTCACTTTCAATGTTTAGTGTCCAACCTGAACAGACTCTGCATTGGATTGAGAAAAAAGTCATGGGGAAAATATCCCTTTGATTAGAATTCTCCCTTTCTCTAAACTTGGCTGCTCGCTGCCATCACCAGGAATTTTAGTTGACCACTCTTTCTGTTTCCTTTTGGCACATTGCCCTGGAATTGCCCAGGGGTACCAAGCCCATGCCCTCCCAATTCACAATTAGGACTATAACTGACCAGATTTGATGCCACAAGCTTTCCTCACCCGACCTGTGCCACTGCAGGGGAACAGGACACCTAACACATCCTCAGCAGGCCAGTTTCAGGACCTCTGTCCAGAACCAGGTGACACTGAATCCCAAGGACAGATCCTGGAAAGAATATCGTGGGGAGGACACGTTTGAGTAAAGCCCACTCTGTCAGACCAGGATCACTCCCACCCCAAAAACCAGAGCAGCCAACCTCGGGGGGAGCCTACCTTGTTGTCTCCAGCCTTCCTGGGAGTACGGTTAACAGCAGCCCCTGCAGGGTTGGGGTCTGGGTTAAGGACGTATCTTCCTACCCCTCCCTCTTTGCTGCAGTGTCAGGAGCAGGAAACAGAAACAGAAGCCCACGAGGTCCCCAGCATTCAGTGTGGAATTTCTGAAAGCCTCAGCCTGGCATTTGAAAGCTTGGGATAAGCCCTAATACACCACTCCTCTCTCCCGATCCCCAGGAATCTATGCGAAAGTCATTTCCCCTTAACCTGGGAGGCAGCGACACGTGTTACTTCTGTAAGAAGCGTGTGTACGTGATGGAGCGGCTGAGCGCCGAGGGCCACTTCTTCCACCGGGAGTGTTTCCGCTGCAGCGTCTGTGCCACCACCTTGCGCCTGGCTGCCTACACCTTTGACTGCGATGAAGGTAACCCCAGGGACCAGCGCAGCACTGGGCTCTGGCCTTGGCCTCAGATGTGACCTTGACTCGGGTTCCTGTCCCTCTGGCGGCTCTAGGACACCTAACACACTGCCAAAAGGAAGTATGATGTCATCAGGAAAGCTGTTCAGGGAGACTGGGAGCTCCTGCTAGAAGGGGAGGCTGCCTGTGGTCCCAGGGAAGGGGTAGCATTAGCACTGTGGTGTGGCATACCAGGTCCTGGTGGGTACCTGCTGTGTGCCCAGGGCTCTACGTACCTCTTCTTATGTAGCCTCACCACCCTCCATTGTCCCTGTATGGCCAAGAAAATCCAACCCAATACCCTCTGTTGCATGCTCAGCACCACACCTGGCATGAAGTAAGTTTCACCATATGATACAATGTTAATATTATTTACATAGTATGTGTCTTAAAAATAACCATCGAAATGACATTCCCTCTGATAAGTGGCCTAACAAAGACATTGATGGAGGAATTGTGCTCATTGGAACAAATGATTATTTTCTAATTTTCAGCGCTTGACATTTGCTCTGTCATCTATAACAAGAGGCAGTATAGCATAGCGCTCAATACACGCCCTCAAACTAAACTACTACCTCCTAGCCATAGAACCTTGGGCCTGTTACTTAAACAGTTTCCTCATCTGTAAAATGAGGTTAATGGTAGTCCTTAGCTCTCAGGGTGGTTGTGAGGACTGATGAGTTAATGCATGTGAAGCTCGTAGCATTGTGCCTGGCACACAGTCATTCCTATGTAAGTGTCCCTGTTACAATTTTTACTATTGCTACTGTTACCAGCATAGCAGTGAGCAAGGAAGACTTTTCTGGAAGGTGCACAGTGGTCCTGGGCAGTGGCCAGTTTCCCAGTGTGTGCCCCGTCTGGGTCTTTTCCTCACCATCACTGCTGCCGTTTGCTCTCAGCCTTTCCCACCCACCAGGTATTCCACAAAGAAAGATTCAGGGTGTTCATACTCGAAGCTGTCCATTTTGCTGCCTGGCAACTGGTCTTATGAGGAAACTTGGCCTCAGTTTGCTTTGAGGATTTTTTTTAAATGTTTTCCTATTTACTATAAAGGATGCAGAGGAGCAGCCAGATGGAAAAGAGGCATGGGGTGTGGTATGGGAGTAGGGTCTCAGAGCTCCCATCCCCTCTCCGGGTGCCGGCATGCCGTCCTACGGGAGCCTCCATGGTTTGAAGTCTTAGCCACATCCCCGGGAGAGCCCCCATTGCTGGAGCTTGTCTCTGAGGCACCTCCTACCTCGTCTCACTGCCACTTCTTTAAGGAAGGTGATGGAAGCCATTTCCCAAGTTTGAGCCACCCTGGGCTATTTCCATCGTTGCTATTTTCTGACTTGGACAGTGGTGTGCACTTGGCTTTTGTCTACTGTGGCTCTAGTTTACAGGAGAAAAATTTTTCTGTATGTGTGTGCCTCTTTTTACAGGCAAATTTTACTGCAAACCTCACTTCATTCACTGTAAAACCAATAGCAAACAACGGAAGAGACGGGCAGAGTTGAAGCAACAAAGAGAGGTATGTTTGTCTCAAACACGCTGGTGAAACAGGGAGGGCCCCTTGATAAGGGTTTCCAGTGATCCTCAAAGTTAGGCCAGCTTTTCTGGCCCTAGAGGGATTGAGATGACTCATAGATAAAGAAGAAAACCTCTGCTTACTGGTGTGGAGGGTTCTTTTGCTTCAGTCTGTTCCACAGCCTCTGGGGCGTGTCCCATTCCAGATGAGCTCCCAGGACGGTAGCCATGATGGCTTCTCATAAGAAGCCTGGAAGAGCTTGCCCATGTGGCAGGGATGGGGTGATATTCTTAGCCACACAAAAGCCACGTGGCCCTCCATACCTGGAACCCACCTGGCCACAAGGTGCTGTTTGCAAGAATGCCTGGTATAGGACCAACCCTTCTACATTTTCTAAGTCCTTTCCCAGGCTCTCGAAGTCAACCAAGTGACCAGCCCACTGAATTTATAGATGGTTTCTGGAAGCATCTCTTCTGGCATCTCTTAGCAAATATCTTCTCTCGAGCTTGATTAATCATCTACCACTAGCAACAACCCATAACTTAAAACTTTTTTCTAATTACCCAAATATATAGGTTCAATGTAAAAACATGGGAATGAGAGAATATAAAGAAGCAAAGTGAAATCACCTGTAACTACTCTACCCTGAGAAAACCGCAGTTCACATTTTGTAACATCCCTTTCCAGACTTTTTTCTATGGGAATATATTTTAACCAAAGTGGAATCCTATGCCTACAGTTTTATATTCTTCCTTTTCTTCACTAACTGTATATCAAGAATAATTTCCCATGACATTAAAAATCCTGTTGGAGCATAATTTTTAATGCCTTTGGAAGATTCTAGTCTATAAATGGTCAATCATTTACTTCACTACTTCTGCACTACTGGATCTTTATGTCATTTGAATTTTTTATCTTACAAATGTTTTTATAGTGTACATCCTGGTATGCATATTGTTATCCATATTTCAAATTATTTACTTGATATTTATCATTAGGAGTCAGATTCCCGATCAAAAGGCATGCATATTTTTGAAGGCCCGTGACTCTTATGGTCAGTTGGCCGCCTAGAAAAGTGCCCATGTTCAGCACCGGCTTCAGCATGAGTTGGGGGGCTGAGATTATTGTAGGGGCTGGTTGCAGGGTCTGGCGAGTTCGGTTTGTATTGGCTCCCTGCTTGCTTTGTTGAGGTAGTCCTCTGGAAGACTTGCAGACTAATGCCCTCATTTCGATCTCTTTCTCAGGAGGAGGCGACATGGCAAGAGCAGGAAGCCCCTCTGCGAGACACTCCCACTGAAAGTTCTTGTGCAGTGGCCGCCATTGGCACCCTGGAAGGCAGCCCCCCAGGTATCTCCACCTCCTTCTTTAGGAAGGCGCTGGGCTGGCCCCTCAGGCTGCCGAGGGACCTGTGTAACTGGATGCAGGGACTCCTGCAAGCCGTTGGCCTCCATATCAGGGACAATGCTTACAACTACTGCTACATGTACGAGCTCCTGAGCCTGGGGCTGCCACTTCTCTGGGCGTTCTCTGAGGTCCTGGCAGCCATGTACAGGGAATCTGAGGGCTCCCTCGAGAGCATCTGCAACTGGGTGCTCAGGTGCTTCCCAGTCAAGCTCCGCTGACATGCCTGGCCGCCCCAAAGTGCCTTCACATTTCCAGGGAGGCTTCAGATGGCAGTGCATTTGCAGTTTGCTCAGGCTCTGGCCAGGAAGCCTAGCATTCTCTAAGCAATTAGCTCAAAGCCAAAGAGTTTCACATGGGCCACCTCTGCCTGGCCTTATCAGGGTGAACATCTACTCACGGTGCTAGGGCCAGGGACGATATGAAGGATCTTTTCTGTAGCTTTGTACTTATATATATGTACACCAAAGTGAGCCATACTTCTGGGTTTACATTTCAATTTTTTAAATTTTAATAAGCCTAGAGAAAGCATTTTTTTCTATGAGTGTCAATTTTTCTTAACATGGGTTTGAAGCTTATAACCAGTTTTATAAACCCCTTGAACATTGCAGTGAGTTATCAGAGCCACTGCCTGCAAAGTGGATGATTTAAGATTTTACACATATGGAAGTGAGTGTGCCATCTCCTGACCAGTGCCTTTTGGCTTAGGTACCCAGATGCCACTTGTCAGCAGCAGGATGCTTTTTACAACACGAAAGCATAATTATTTTAGAAGAAAAGAGTAGAAGGGCAGAATAGAATTCAACTTACAAAAGCAGGGAGTAGTGTGTGTTTGGTTATTATCTGTCCCCTTGCGGGGAGGACTGTTTTGCTCCCTTGTTTTGATGTTAAATAGTAGCTTAAAGGCTTTCCCCCCCATACCAACTCACAGCCAAATGAGGAAGAACCATGGGGTTTCAACAGATTCTACAAACATGCATTTTCCCTTTCCACTAATGGGCAGTGCAGTGAAAGCCCACTGGCATTTGACCATGGAGCTGATGCAGTGCTGAAGATGAGCTCTTTCAGCTGACGGCATTTTAGCCCCTGTGGCTCCCAGCAGATCCCCCAGCCCAGGCTACAGGCTGAGCCAAGGCCTTGCAGGGTCCATACTGGTCAGGCCGACTGGAGTGGAAGACTTCGCCCACTCATGTGGTGTCCTTTGAGACTGAGGGGGTTTGTTAGCACATCAGGCTATTGCTGGGAAGCATGACCTGCCCAGTGAGCGTTGCCTGTGGACATCCTGACGGCTTAGCTGCTCCGCTGCGATGCATATGTGATCAAAACAGAAACCGTTTTCACAATGCCCTGGGAAAGGAATGGGTCTGACCTCCAGGGGAAGCTCTACTGTATCTTGACTGGCAGGGAAGGCTGGGAGTAGAAGCTGTTTTTGGACTGATCCAAAGGAAATATGCCTTAGTAAGGGTTAAAATGAGCATGCAGGCCCACCTACATTCTTCACTCTGGGTATCTAGAAGAGTCCTCAGCTCTCCCTGCTCCACGCTGCCTAGACACACACAGCTGCAGGGTCTGGCTGAACAATCAAGGGGCTGCCAGAGAAAGGCCATCTACAGGGCTCAGTGTATCTGGAGTTGCTGGGCCCAAGATAGCTCTGTGCAGTTATCACTGGAGATGCCTCTGGATTAACTAAGAGGTGTGCCTGGGTGTGGGTGAGGAGCCAGAACCTTTGAGAGCTTTGAGATGACAGTTTCTGTGGGGCGGGAAAAAAGGAGGAGGTGCATTTCTACAAACACTTCCCTGAAATCCTTGGGAAAAACAGAGGCATAGCCATGGCCAACTCTGTGGGAACTGGCGCCTCTGTCCTTATTGGCACTGTTCTCAGTCTGATGACTTGCATTGTGTTTTCTCCAATTTTTGCTGGGATTTTAGTGTTCAGCATGGGGGGAGGAACCCTTGATTCCTTTTGTTTGAGTACAGAAAGTAAATTCTCGAGGTCATGATGTGAATGACCATGTTATTGTGATTATCTTCAGCTCAGGATAGGCTGAGCTGCTTTGTGGAGTGTTCCATGAAGCCAGAGTCAGAATCTCTAAGACTGTCATGTACAGCCATAAGGAGACTGGTTTGAATCACTGTGGTGAGACAGGGTGTGCCTGTCGGAAATCTGAGATGTTTGTATGCTCTGAGATGTTGAACCTTTCTGGTGGGCAGCACCAACACCCAGGGGTGGACCCCAGAGGGTGAATGCCTCTAGGCCTCCACAACATGTTCAAGAATGAATAGGAGACACTAGAGCAAACTGCGGGCCGAGAGGATATCAGGGAGCAAGATGCAAACTGTGTGCATCCTCTCTTGTAAACAAGTAGCTGGTCACAACCAGAAAGGTTCCTCTCGTCTATGCAAACAGTGACTCTTTCAGAGGAAGTTTCCCTCTTTCAATAGTTGCCTTATTTTCAACTCCAGTGCCTTCTCGTGATGTTAATCATTTCCTTTTTTCCCCACACTAAGTTCTCTTTTCCATCTTTCTCTCTCTCTCCAATCTTACACCATGGCCATCAGTTCATTTCAGCCTTCCAGTGCTACACCCACTTCTTGGCTGACACCCACTTCTGCTCTAAGGTGACTGGTTTTCTTGCCAATTTTCAAAGAGTGGTACTAACCCCCAACCCGCTTTCCGCACCCCGTCCTCCCGGCCAGCGGTACTGGTTGTGCTAACTGTGAGTGTCTTGCATGCTGATGGACTCATATGGTGGCATGGTTGGCTAACAGCATGAGGGAGTGTCCAGCTTGAGACCCATGTCTGTGTTCATTTCCCGTGGAGCCGGCAGCCTGGTCTACCCCAAGTGCATGCCCCGCCTCTCCTCTCTCCCTTGGGCCTGCCTGTGTGCATGCTTCTCCAGTTGCACCTGCGAAGCCACCTACTTTCTTGGGAGGGTCGACCTTGATCATGAGACAGTACCATGAGGGGGCCTCTGTCACCTTTGAAAAGAACACCTATGGAGCAGCATCAAAAAGCTCATACATATCAGCCCCTTGTTAAACTGGCTTTAATGTAAAGATTGTTAATGTCATTGATCAAAACCATAGGTGATTCTTTGGAGGGATTTAAAAAGCATAATTACTCTCAGGCCTCATCCCAAGCTTGACCCATGCTCTGTAGGTTGAACACGTAATCACAACTATTCTAGCAAATCCTGCCTTGGTTGCAGCCTGCACTGTAGATGCAAGGGTTTTGCTGTGGTTCTTCTTATGTCCCTTGGCTCATAAAGCCCCAGATGATGCCAGAGCTTCAATTAGAGCCATCATCATCCCAGGCAGGGATATCTTTGAGAAATGACTCAGTTCAGCCCCAGGCCCCTGTGACTCTGCTTAAAGCACACATTTCTGCTGCCTCTTGTACCTGGTGCAGCAGGATAATCACCAGCGTGCTCTTAATGAGAAACAACACACCAAGCACAGTGGAGCTGTCCTGGGCAACCCTCGCCGGTCTCAGGCTGTGGGGGCGTCTGTCCTGCATGTGGCCCAGACCACCCTGACTCCTGGGCCTGCCTGCCTGGCCCTGCATGCTGCACACTCGCTGCGCTTGTGCAGATCCTGGCCAGTACGAAGTCGTTGCTCTTGTCTTATCTTCTCTTACAGAGTCTCCCTCCCTTTATAGAATGTCAACCAAAGAGTGCCCTCCTCCCCTCTCAGCCTCCTCTTTAGCTAGCCTCCCCATCTCATCACAACGCATGTCTGTGACCTTTGGTAATCATTTACAGTGCCACACGGAACCCTGTATTTTGCACACAGCAAAACAAACAATGTTTAGCTTTATTTATGGTATTTGATGCTGTAAATGGAAATAAATATTGTTCTTTATAAAGCTCATTGTTTCCTCTCTTCTTTGCCGTGGAAGCTTCTAAAACCTCACACACAGGGATTGGTGTAGGGGGTTCATTTTCCCTAAACTGCTGGCGGGACTTGCACTTGAGGTGACACAGGACTCTCGGGCTGCGCTGGGTGCTCTGAAAGGAAATATTACCCAGGGGTAATATTTGGAAACTGTCATCAATGCTCCTGGGCCAGGCTTTGGGGTCTCTTTCTTGAACACTCACTGTACTTTGCTGTTCTAGATGCTGGGCATAGTGGGTGAGGGTCAGTGTCCCCTCAGCGATTAGAAACAGACTGTATTGACAGCTATCTACACCCATTTCCACCGCACACCCAAGCGTGGCTCTACACGAGAGCTTTCCCTATGAACCTTACACTAATTTAGGCTCCTATTTAGCAAAGGTTGGTCTTGAACACTTCATGCTGGTCCACAGCTGAGTGGCGAGTGGAAGGTAAGGAGGAAGGACTGGGCATCAGTCTCAGGATGGCAATGAAGTTGGCAGTGTGCTCATCAGATGGACAGCCACTGCCATCCTAAGAGACCTCTCCTGTCCCAAAGGCTCAGGGCATTCAGTGCCTATGGTGGGAGGCCCTGCCCTAGTGCCACCCTAAGTAGAACACTCATGGCAGGCCCTGGGCAACTCCAGGCTGTGTTTAAGGGAAAGATTTGGAGCCTCACTTGGCTAGCCTGGGCAGTGCCAAAGTCATCTGGTCCTCAGCCTCCCCTGGGGGAGATGCCTGCCATTTCCTGGCTGGGTGTAGCTGGGCTTCTGACACTGGTATGAAAAGTCACCTGTGGACTTTATGAGGTCCCTGGCACCTCCAGATGGGTGTGCCTGAGGCTCTGGTCTCTGATGCCTGGATCTACCGTCAGAGCTGCCTCAGGTCATGACGAAGGGTTCTGTACTCTTACCCGGGTGACGTATTCCCACTTCCATTCAAGGAGGGATGTTAGGGACTATAAGTCAGGTGCTGGGCTGTGCAAGTGACTCATTCCTTTATGCATTCATTTATTCCGCAAATGTTTGTCCTAGGCCTATTCTAAGCCCTAGATAAAGCAGCGAACCATGCAAAGTCCCCGCACCTCCCTGCACCTTAGAGATGTGGCTCAGTATTGCTATACTGGATGAGATCTGTTCTATTTTACTGCATGTGCTTATTTGTTTGTTCAACTAGGTGGTATTTCCTGAGCATCTACAATGCACTAGGAATACAGCAGGGAGTAAAGCAGACAAAAATCCTCACTTTATTGTCAAAGCGTGACACCCCAAGAGGTGCTTCACCAACAAAGGGGTCCATAGTCACGACATTCGAGGGATATTTTATACCGATCTTGCCAGTCCTCCCCAGCCCTGGAGACTCACAAGATTCATTTGCCTGTCAAGTCTCTGGGGCATCCTCATAGCGAAGTTTAATCAACTTTGTGAAAGTCAGCTGTCTCATACTTATTTGAACATTTTGTTTTGGTTTTGGTTTGGTTTTTTTTTAATATTGCATTCTACATACATAGTTTTAGTAGACTAGTCTTTAATTCAGAGATATTGGATTAAAGACTTAAAATTTCAGAGGTAAAACCATAGAATTAAATATTAAATGAAATTAAATATTGAATAGATAACGGGGTGACAACTTTCTAAGCATAAATCCTCTAATAGGAAAAACACCACATAGGAAAAACATGGCACAAATCTGATTATATACATTTTTAAAACTTAGTATAGAATAATAAAATATTAAATAGACCATTAGACTAGGGAAAAAAATTAACTAAATGTAATAACAAAGAAGTTCATTGCATGGTATTTTCAAAATTCATTTAAAACAGATGTTCCTGGGCACCCCTCACAGTGTAAATGATCAGTTAATATTTGTTGATTAAAGAGTCAATGATAAATAGGCAAAGGCTATGAATAGGCGGTTTACACTTAAGCAAATTTTAAAAGTAAACACTAAAAAGAAAAAGCAAGTATTTACAAAAGTATTCCTACTTGGTTTTTAAAGGAAGTAAATTAATTATGGTGTACATGGGCCAGGTGCGGTAGCTCACACCTGTAATCCCAGCACTTTGGGAGGCTGAGGCGGGCAGATCACTTGAGGTCAGGAGTTCAAGACCAGCCTGACCAACATGACAAAACCCTGTCTCTACTAAAAAAAAAATTAGCTGGGCATGGTGGCACATGCCTTTAATTCCAACTACTTGGGAGGCTGAGGCACGAGAATCGCTTAAACCCAGGAGGCAGAGGTTGCAGTGAGCTGAGATCATGCCACTGCACTCCAGCTTGGATGACAGAGTGAGACTCCGTCTCAAAAAGAAAATAAAAATTATGGTGCATCTACTGAATTAGTAAAGAAAAAAGTAAAACTGACTGTAAGAAAAAAATATGAACTTCATCCCAAGTATTGAGTAAAAAGTAAACTGGGAGAATCTTTTCCTGGGAAGCATTGTGGCAACCCTGATTGAGATCCAGAAAAGGGCTCTGACTTCTCGGCCTAATAATTCTACTGCAGGGAATTTATCCTGAGGAAATAATCCAGCAGAAGAAATAAATCTCTGTGAAACTTGAATGTGTAAGTCGGTCAAGCCAAGTGGGTGGGCTGTTCCCCTTTATTTCTGTAAATGCATTCATTTTTACAACTTAAGGGAAAAAAAAGGCTTAAGTAAGTAAAAGAAGTTACTAAATCTTTTACTGCCCCCCACCCCCCAGCCAGCTGTTATATAGGGAACATTTTCTGTGTGCCAGGTACTGGGCCAAGAACTTTATGTGCAGAACTTCATTAGCTCTTCACCTCCTTGTGTCAGCCTTGAGGTCAGTACTGATGTTAAAGAAGCTCCTGATACTGAGGAGGCAGAGGCGAGTCTAGAGCCACGTCTTCCACTGAGAAGGGACTGAGTCCCACAGCCCAGGCTAGGAGTCAGGTGCCTGCTCTAAGAGGAACCTCGGTGCATGATGAGGGTCTGGGCTCCACCAAAGCCCAGGCTTTGCTTCCAGCACTTGGTACGGACTCAGTGGCATTGCGCAGGTCCCTTCTGTGAACTGGGGCTAAGGATGCCTCTAGCGTAGGGTTTTCCAAGGTGTTTGGCTCTCAGGACAGCAAGATCTCTTTGTCATGCTCTAAATAGCACTTTCCTGATTTTGCACAGCACAGAGAGCCCAGAGGAAAACTTTTCGGGCATTCTCGATTAACTGGGGCTCAGAACTCCTGACAGGATACCTTCAGGTTGGGAACTAGACAGCGGTCCCAATTCACACTGGTGGCACCATGTTTTTCTCCAGGTTTCTGATTCCCCAGCCTTCTTAAAGGCAACAGCCATCTCCGTTCGGACACCCAGGCCTCAGCTCTGGAGCTCCCTTTCCCTGCCACCACCTGCCAGCGGACTTTGGTTTTGCCTTAATGAGTGCAAAGAGGGGGCACAGGCTCTCACTTTGTGCCCAGCTGCCCGCTTAACATCCACACCTGATGTCTATTGCACATGTCCAGCCCAAATGTCCACTCCAACTGCTGATTTCCCCAAAACAGGCTCCATCCTTAGCCTTCCCCATTTCTGGAGACTGTAATTCCCCTTTTCTTGTTGCTTGGCCCAAAGGCCCTGGAGTCATTCTTGACTCTTCTTTCTCTTGACCTCACACCAAATCCATTAGCAAATTTGAGGAACATCCAGAACCTGTCCATTCCTCACCACCTCTACACTAACTGACCTCCGCCCACTGTCATCCAAGTTATTGCAGCCACCCCTCTGAAGGCCCCTGCTTCTCCCTTCACCCCTCAACATCCTCAACAAAACAGCTGAATTATCCTTTTATTTATTTTTATTTATTTGTTTGTTTTGAAACAGTGTCTTACTCTGTCATCCAGGCTGGAGTGATCTTGGCTCACTGCAACCTTCACCTCCTGGATTCAAGTGATTCTCATGCCTCAGCCACCCGAGTAGCTGAGATGACAGGCACCTGCCACCACATCCAGCTAACTTTTGTATTTTTAGTAGAGACGGGATTTTGCCATGTTGGCCAGGCTGTTTTCGAACTCCTGACCTCAAGTGATCCTCCCACCTCAGCTTCCCAAAGTGCTGGGATTACAGGTGTGAGCCACTGTGCCTGGCCTGGATGATCCTTTTAGAATGTATGTTTCACTGCTGCTCAAAACTCCAGCAGCTCTCCAGCTCACTGTGTGCAAATGCCAAAGGCATGATGGATTCGAAGGGCTCTGTGGGGTCTGGCCCCTACTCTGACCTCCTCTTCTACTTTCCCTTACACACTCTGACCCAGCCACATTCTCTCTTAGAGCGTTTGTGCTGTCTGTTTCCTCTGCCAAGAATGCGCTTCCCTGGCATTCATATGGCTGAGTCTGTCCTTTATTCAAATTTGTCCATGTGTCCTCCAATACCCACAGTGAGGTCTATTTTTAGTCCTGAGACCTGCACTCCCCAGCAATCCCTGCTCCCCCTTACCCTACTAGACAGTTTTTCCACTGCACACATTTATTGCCTTCAATGTATTGTGTAATTCACTCCTTTATTATGTGTATGGCTTATTTATGTTTTCCAACCTTGCTGGAATGCAAGCTCCATGAGGGCAGGGGTCTTGGTTGCCTTTGAATGCTTTGTATAACCCCGACAGAACAGTACTTAGCACATAGTGGGTCCTCAAAAAATGTTTTTAGGATATATGCCCTCTGGCCTGGACCTCAGACTACAGAGCATGCAACCATCTCAGGCTGGGGAAGATCTGGCTGGCATCCAGTGTGGTTCAGGAGGGAGACCGGGAGGAAGAGAAATCTGACGTTGTGTGTCCTGGCTGCCACTGCAGACTCCTGACTGTGAGAAGGGAGTTTTGATTTTGCTTCTGTGTTGCCTTCTGAGGGGCATCATCTTCATGTACAACTCTTGAGAGAGCTGGGTCTGCACAGAACCAGGTGGGCCTTGGATGCCTCCTCTCAGGGACAAGCCAAGGTTGGCAGCAGAGAGCTGTTCCAGCAGCATCCCCTTTGGGGCATCAAGG